TTTGAGCACGTTCGCCCAGCCCACGAAAAGAGGTCGGGTCCCGGAAGCGGGAGTCCGGAAGTGTTGCGAAAGGAATTTCAAGAGACGTGGGTGCCTTTCCGCGTCGCTGGAGCTCACTGACCCGGAAGGTAATCCGCTAGAGCGCTGGCATCGCGGGAGTTCTACGGGAGCCGCGAGGGATGCGAGCGCGCAGCCTCCTGAAGTGCCGCGAAACGCCGCCGTCCGGGCAGTGGCGCCGCATCGACGGAGGCGGCCACCGTGGCTCGGCTTGTTGCTCTTTCCTCCTCGCACCCGTCGGATCCGCTCCTTTGCCTGCACCCTGTGGAGTGAGTGAGGGGGCGCGGGTTCGCGGCCGTGCCAGGTTTCTTTGGGGAAAATGAGGCGGGGAGAGAGGGAGCGCCTCTGGAGCGTGCGAATCGTGCAGACAGCGCGCGCGTCTCCCCTTCTGCGGACGGGGCTCGCTTCCAAGAACGCGAGGGGGCATTGCTGTAAGCGCGGAGAGAAAATACCATCAGCGGAAAACTGGGAATTAGAGGGGAAAGATACCTGGGATACTTGGAGTAAAGGGAGCGGGAAGCACCGCAATTTGATGCTAATTTGCCAATAGGGGGAATGGCCCCTTTTCGTTCGTTGGTGCGGATTATGAGAGAGAGGGCATCTCGTCTGTACCACTCTGGGAAGCTAGGCTTTGCAGATGAAAAAGGCAATAAATATCTCAGAGGAGAGTTGTATCCCTTAAGAGTAAACTACTTTTTTCCCTGCCCCGCGGGAGGAAAAAACAAACAAAACACAACCAGATGTTTTTTATCAGAATCCTTGCGATGAAAGAATCACTCTATCACTAGAATTCTAACTTGAAGTACCATTTTTCGCTGTTGTCTTTCCCTACCCTCAAGCCTAAACTGAGTTTAATCCAAAACGTTCGTGGGGAAATTCCATGTTCTTTACATTCAATTGTACCGTGAACTTTATGAAGCCTCCTAGTATTTTTCCTCTTTCTACTCTGGAGAAAGATGACGCTTTCTGCTCCCTTACAGTCTTGAAAACCCAAAAAGAGCAGTTCT